ATATATATATATATATATATATATATATATATATGCTAAAATACTAATTATACATAATTAAAATATAATTATCATTAATTCCATAAAAAGATACATGTTCTCTATTGAAAAAAAAAAAAACTCATGGGCTATTTGGTAATTAAGATATAGCCGTGCATGTACTAAGATATGGGCGTGTTTAATGTGATATTTGTGATTCACGTGAATTGTACAGCTGTTCGAAAGTTAGGTACAAGTAATTAACATCTCTTCAATCTCATCTTATTCGGGGCGGTTTTTTTTTCTTCTTTAATATATACTAATTTTATTTTATTTGACATTTATAATTTTATATTCACTTAAGAAATATAATTAATATATTTAAACTATATATATTTTAATATTTTAAAATAACTATGTTATTAATATAAAATATTTATTAACTTCGTCAATGTTATATAAAATCTATAAATTTCTAATATATTCTTAAACTTTTGAGATTCCCATCAATTAATAAAATAATTATAAAAAAACAATACATTATATAAAAAATGTATTAATAATAATTAAGATTATAATAAATAAAAATAAATAAATAATATTACATTGATACTATAAAATAACAATTGAAACAAATTAAAATAGTCAAAATGTCAAATAAAATAAAATAAAGGGAGTATAATTATGTTATTAGAGTGAAATTTGACTTATTTTGTCATAAGTCGATAATTAATATCCATCAAAGAAAAATTATTAACATTTTATAAAAAATAATTAATAACATGATATTGATATTGATATTTAAGTTTTAATTTATGATAAAAATTAATAATACTTAACTATATGTTATGTAAGTATTAATTAATAATTAATTATCAAATACATTGATCAACTGATATACGTTGTTTGTTAAAAAAATAATAATAATATAGATTGTTGCAACTTAATCAATGGTCTTAAATGAGTTCTATGTATACAACTACCTTAAATATTTGGAAGAAGAATTTTGTCACATTTGAATGATTCCATCACAATTTTAATACTTGAAAAAAATCCAAAAATAATTAAAGTTTTTAATTTTTGATATAATATTAATTATTTTTCCTAATTTATCCATTTATAAATCTTTCAACCAACACAATTAAAAATAATATATTTATTGAAAGAATAATGTTATTTTTGTAAAATTGTATAAAAATCATACAGTGATTATTATTTTTAATTTATATGTGAAAATGTTAAAGTTCAGTCATTTTGAGATGAAAACTTTACTATAAAATTTATAATTTCTTGTTGTATATTAAGGATTGCCATATATATATTTTCATATCAATAAATAAGATATTATTTACTTTAAATCTAAGGAATATGTGTATATAAATTCATATATTTTCTCTTACTTAAACGATATGAAAGTTTAATTATATCCCAACTCACGTATTTAACCAATTTAAAACAATTTTTATAAATTAAAAAAATGATAAGGAAAATCTCCTACAATGTAATGTGAGGTGCGAATTCGAACTTCGGCGCCACTTTTAGGACCCTAATAGTGTGTTTGAATGAGGAATTTTACAAATTCAAGGAATTTTAAATTCTTGGTATTTGAATTACTTTGATTTCAATTTCTATTATTCTTAAAATATTTTGTTTGGATGAGTCAATTCAAATTTCTTAAATTTTAAATTGTTAGGTTGAATATGATAATTTTATTCCATCATAGTAAAATTGATTTTAAAAATATATTTATATGTTGAGATTTTTAAATTAAATTTTATAAAAATAAATACTAATCCATTTTTAAATATTTATTAATTTTAAAAATTAATATTAGATAATATTTAATAATTTTAACAATTAATATTAAATAATGTTTAACAATTTTAAAAATATTTTTGAATATCTAATAATTAAAAAAATGAAGAGATAAGATAAAATATATAGGTGAAATAAGAAAAACAAATATGAGGAATTTCAAATTCTCCCATTTTTGGGAGAATTTGAAATTCTATTATTTTAAGGAATTTCACAAATGATTGAATTTCAAATTCTTTGTAAATTCTTCGTCCAAACAAAGCATTTCACCTCAAAGAATTTGAAATTCTTCAAATAAATGAATTACCCCATATAAATTCCTCATCCAAACACACCATAAAGATTTCTATGATAAGGTAAACAACTGAATTATACCAATCTTTGGATTAAACAAACGCCATGCATGGCTTCATCTATAAGACTATAACTGTTTTATTTCTTTTCAATTTTTATCAGATTCTATTTGATTTCCGGCTGACCCAGTGAATCATCTGTGATAGCTGATAGGAAACAAATTTGAAATAAAATAATTGATTGCTTTAGAAGCACTAGTTTTAAAGTTTTTATTAACCCAGCAAGTTAATTACAACAAGCATGCACCATATGTTATAAAGGAGTAAATCCTCTGGAAGTGCTGTTGTCTGCTGCTCCAGAGTTGACGTTGTCTCTGCATGCTGATGGGAACTGTCTTCCCAAGACCTTAAGTTGTTTGTTGTTGGTTTTACTTTTCCTCTTTTACCAAAAAATAAATAATATTATAAAGGTGTGTTTAAATGGGGGATACTGACATTGCGTCATACGATTTGGATAAAAGCAAACACACACATGAAGGAGAAGATACTATAATTAAAACTAACCCAATTACCAGTAATTTTGAGTAATCATTGCGTATTCTATGACGAGTTAATGACCTAAGATGTTAATATATTACTAATTTGTTTTTATATTTATCTGCAATAATATAAGTCTCCGTTCACCAAATAAAATATGTTGATTACTAATATAAATATAATATTTTTTATTTGCGAAAATTAAATTTGATATCAAGAAATTTACAATAAAATATTTTATTTTAAAGATAATGTGTATACACTAGTATATACATGTTTTCATTTTAAAATAAATTGTCTAGTTTACTAGCAGTGTCACATCACACTTATGTTTCCTTGAGAAAATTATAAATATATATTTAGATTTTTGTCCTTTATTTTTATATATTTGAATTTATTGCCTCTAACTTCACATTCTGTTTTCAATTTTGATCTTTTATCTTTCATATAGGTTGTTATATTTTTAGCTTTCTAAGTTTTTTTTACAAATATAAAAAACTTAGGACCTATAATCTGTTGTATTTATCCAAATTCTCTACCACTAAGGCAATTTTAGTAACTCTTTAGGTGCTTTGCACTTTATTTGGCTAAAACATTTCATTTTATTATTATGATTATTATTAGTATTATTTAAAAATAAACTACCCTCTATGTCTCATGGTTTTTAATTCACCAATGCTTACTAGTGCAATCTAAGCTATTCTAAATTCTTATGGTTATAAGTATTCAGTATCTCCAACTTATAGGAATCACTGAAATGAATTTTTTCTTTCTCAATAAAATATAATTCATAGACGTGATCAGAAATCTAATCCATCACAATATATTTAAAAATCTAACTATTTATCATCTGTTTTAAACTTGCTAGCGTACTTGGATAGTAATTAATATTACCGGATTCAATCTTTTCTAGAGTTTTCTACAATGTTGTGAAAATGATTAACTAAGGGCATATGTTGGGGTAGTTATAAATTTTTATTTTCTGATTTTTTAATATAAAATTTAAAATGAATGTGCTTGATATATATATATATAATATCCAAAAGGCTAAACTATAAGTAATTAAATTTAAAGATTTATTTAACATTTTCAGGACCAATTTTACAATTTTTTTAGTTTCAAAGAATAAAATGATGTCTTTCAAATTCAAATACTAAAGTAAGTGTTTGCTTAATATCAATACTACAAACTATAAATTTAAAAATATAGTTTTAATGTATAATTCCAAAACTTCAAACGAATAACCATTCAAACGCTGAATACCAAAAAAAAAAACAAAAAAAAAAACACTAACTGAAAAAAGAAAAACCATTCAAAGGCGCCTTTAAGTTTTGAATTTAGAGTTCTATACTTATTTTTTTTGCCAAGGTATAGTACTATAAGAACCAGCATTTTACGGACTCAAAAGGTTATAGATCTCATACATCCTCTAGAAATCATATTATGCATTCCTCGTATACCTCGTCTTAGTTCAGCTTTGTTCACATTCTATAAGATTCTTCTTCGTTTCCCTTCTTTTTCGTCAGTCTCAGTTTTGCCTGGGACGCTCACACTCTTTTATTAATTACTGCCTCTAGTTCATCATATTTGAAACAAGTATAATATAAAATATACATAGCTTATTTTTCATAAAAGGGGCTGGGGATAATAATATTTAATATATATAATCAAAAGATATTTATTAAATAAGATGAAATCCATAAAATTTTATAATTTTCAATAAAAATATAATTTAAAAATATAATCATTGCATTTCTCAAATATTAATTCTTCTTCCCCTAGAACCCATACAATAATCTTAATTATCTCCAATATTTAATTCTGCCGGCAATTAAAACTGCCGTCCTAACAATATTCAAATTCAGACGTGAATAAAAAGCAAACATTAAAAATGTTTTGCTCCCAATTAGTCATTCAATCCAACTCAAAGTAATTTGAAACAAAATTACTTGGATAGCAGAAATTTCAAATCCGAAAAACTAACCATATTGTCTTTAATACATTTTACATTAATTAAAAAATTGCTACAAGGCTCACATTGTCGATAATGGATGCCCAGTCCTCATCATGCCACCAAAGAGCTTTTCAAAGTTTGCCATCACCCTTTAATCATGGATACGTCAAGCGCATTACGTTTAAACCCGTGTAACTCGATTACACAGATTAAACGGGAAAATTTTCCTTAAAACCATTCAGCTACAGCTATTAGAGGAGCCAAGAGACGGACTAAAAAATATAAAAAGGACCCAAGAAAAAGAAAAACCAACAACAGAACAGAATAGAATACATGTGTACGAGCATTAATAATCGTTTTATTGTAGCATCAATCAAGGCGAAAGTGATACCAAAATAAGCATGTCAACCTTCTGAATTCATTTATCCATCTAACTCGGTTGAAGCAGACACCTTTAGCCACCTCCAGATTTGAGTGTATTGCTCAACCTATATAATATGCTCACACATTAATATAGCGCACGATAATAACCACCGCTTGCAAAATGAGGTATTATGTTATATATCAGATAGAAATGCAGGTTGAAGCAATGTAACTCTAAGGCCTCAGTTGGAAGAGTTTATTTACAGAAAGAAATACAGCTCATGATATAAGTAATTATGTACGTGTATGGGAGAGCTAATGCACATAGTTTTTACGTCCATAAGTTGTTTTCATCTTATTTCAATAAACTTTCCAAGATAACTTCTGAAAACTGCTTACAAGTTGCAATCACATAAAAACAGTTTAACCTTATTTCTCCTTTGATTAAAACAACTACTTGTACATAAGTACTTATTCAATGAAACCTTAATTAAGCTGTTTACTCAAACAAGTCCAAAATATCTCAAAGTATAATAAACATCTAAAAATAAGAACCATACAAGCAAATGATACAAATTCATATTTTCCAAAGATCGACGAAAGACTGCCCAATATATAAAAAGGTTCCTTTCCCATTCATATTTTCTGGACCAAGGTAAACTTGCCTTCATATTTTAAGGATAAACGAAAAAGAAAAATCACATGCCGAGTTAGAATTCTGTGTTTGCAAACATATGAACTTTCAATCTTTCTTATTATTTAAACTCTTCATTACAATACATTCACCTATTAGAAAGAACATTTAGACCTGCACTTTATTTTATAACTATGGAAATATGATATCCATAAAAAATGTTTTAATTTTTTTCTTTTTGATAAAAATATAAACTATAAGAGAAAAAAGTAAGGGGGTATACGGAGGAAAAGATATCCTCAAAATATAAAAACGAAGTGAAATATATATACATACATATATATATATATATATATATATATATATATATAT